GCGGGAGGGGGTGGGGTACCATCACGCGGGTACGGAAGGCGCATTACATTATTTATCTTATTTATCGGAGTTTGTGCCATTTTCTGATCTGATTCGGCGATAGCGGTCACGTACGGCCGCTTGGCGCCGGAGACAGCACACAAGGTGGCGTGTCAGAAAATTATTATATGCCTTACTTTGCCGTCTGTCTGTGCCGAGTGAATATTTTATTAATTCCATAAAGCGTCCGCTTCGGCTTATGCTCGTGCGCCCCCGAGGCCTCCATCGCGCCGACGAACACACGTCAAAAATGCCAAATGCCCTTTATTCAAAGCAGTGCTTCCGCGGGTTATAATTGCCCTAAAGCGAGGCTTTCGCGTTGCTAAAAGCGGATGATAGCTAACACGTCAGTAAATCAATCGCGCGTATAGGAAGTTTTTGTTGGAATATATTGCGACATGTTTTAATAAATTTCGTCGGCACTCTCGCTCCGTGCTCGCTACAGAGATCTGCACGAAAAATCGAACGGTACCAATATACATAAGAATAAATTATTTCCGTTACTCCGACGAATAATAATTTTGATCAAAGTGAAAATGTTTTGAGGTACGTACACATACTAATTGGAAACAAGACGATAAAGGAAACTGAAAGTTTGATGACGCGGAATAAGGTACGCTTGGTGTCCTTAGTTTCGAGGGCCTAAGCCACAAACTATGAATTTATGCAAATCGAGATAAGACTGGCACGTCTCCATGACCTCGGCCGAACCCCTCATGGCCGCCGGGGTTACGTAGTGGCTTACAGTTCGGACTTCATGCCCTCCGTACGAACCGGACTAGTCAAACGGTCCGAACTATCCGCGGACTTAACCGACTGTTAAGTTCGACTTGAGTTACTCGCAAGACCGACCCCATGTAATCCGAAGGATCTCGGCGAAATGCCCCGGTATGATTGTGTAAGCGCCACGCTCTCTCAAGTTGCAAAGGAGTCCCGACCCTCTCAGCGGTATCGCGGTTTGATCAGGACAGACATCGGCAAATAATAAGCGGCAGCCGAGAAGTTGCCGGTTGTCGTAGTACGCGGTGTTGGAAGTTGAACGATGATCGTGATTCTAGAACAATTTGCGCAATCGAGCCGCGACGTCCAGATAGGCATGTATCAATATTTCGATGAACTAGGTCAACGCAAAACAATATATTTTTCGGGTCATTGGCATTTAGTCGATACGTACAATTTCAAAATACAATACTGAGTAACAGGAGCGCTTGCTCCGTATTCCTTTTTCTTCAGGTTGACTATTTGGTACAATTCGGGTCAATCGATTTTATTATAATCATTCTAAATGGACAATATAATTCTGAAAGTGAAAAAGAGCCCAAACGGAAAGATGAAATGTTATTTATAAACGTGCCTTGCTGCTTATACCGAGATCTTGTATAAAATTTTATTGATCTAGAAAAACTTTACTGTAAAGGCTTTGGATCTCGTGCGATAATGCTCGTCTTGATTTCAAACTCGTTTTTCTCGACGCGGGTGGCGACCGATAGTATCTTCGTGAATATTTCAATGCGCGCTTAATCGCTACGATTCGTCGACGGAATAAAAAAAAAATAATATATATATATATATATATATATACATATACATCTAGTCCCGGTTGAGGTCCCAAGGAAATAACAAATGCAAGAAATCAATTTCGTGGCAAGATAGCTGAGGCGGATTCCGCTTCGTGCATGTGGTAGAAACGTCACGTGTACATGTCCGTGTGCGATGTACGTCCGAGGCGAGACCCAGGCTGAGCCGGCGATAAGATCGGTCGCGTGAGCTAGCCTAGGGGTAGTTTGCCCCAAATGGCTAGTCCCATTTCCCTCGTCTCTAAGTAGTCGGGTGTTTGTATCGTACGTGTCGGCGCGCCATCGCCTCCCCGGTATTCGCATTCTCCTCAACACCGACCTGTCCTCGTCACCGTCACACTTTACCTCCCGCCACCCCTCCGCCACTCGTCGGATCAGAGCCCGATAACGGAAAATCACTAGCGCGCGCGCCCCCGATGCCACGGTCGTACCTGACAAAGCGTACGTTTAAACGCTCTTTTTGCCCGCACGTGTCGAGCGGAATGACAAGATGAACGATAATTTTCGACTACGGTGATGTCATCGAAGCTGCGGAATATCCGAATATCCCCGTCGTCGGTTCCAAATCCTTCTCGACTTCTCCGACCGTTCATGTTCAGACAAGACGAGCGCGAGCGTCGTCTCGAGCGTCCTCGAAAACGCCATCGCGAAAAAGTAGCGCCGGCGAATAGTAATCTGGCGACAGTTTCATTAACGCTCTTCCGGCGGATCCGAGGATCGAGGATTTGGGGCGGAGTGCATGTGCCAGGCTGCAGCCTACCGCCTCCTCCCCCTCGTTTTCCTTTCGCAAATCGGCTCCGGTACCTCCCTTTCTCCGTGCTCGGGAGCGCTTTTGGGCCATGTGAATCCGGCGGACAAGTACCCACCTGAAATCCTGACGTCCTGACGTGGCACTGCACCGCGCGGTAGTGAGAGATCGCGTTGCAGAGCCGGGGGGCTGCAAAGCTAAGCTCAGCACATTGCTGTGTGCCTTCCGGCTTACGGCCGATAATGTTTTCATATTGTGGCGACCGCGCATGTTCGTGTGGCATGCCGCCGGCATTACCTCGCTCCTTGTGAGCTCAAGGCTGATCTTGCCCGAGAATGGGACAGGTCGGACGCGGTTCTTCATCCTCCTCTCTTTCTCTCCCCCTCTCTCGTGCCGCTATTATACTTCGCTCATCGTGATCTTCCAGCATCCGACGCGATCCGCCGCGAGAACGTGCTTAAAAGCGAACTGGAGGACTCGCTGCGCGGCATACCTCGTCGGATGAGAACTTAAAAGGAACCACGAGGAGAGACACTCGACTACGAGTCGAGGACTCGCCT